AAGTCTTTCTTTACCTCCATTTGTAGAGTTTACTTCCTGAAATCTGCAGCCGCGCCTAAGCTCAGATTCGGTAGCGTATGACAATTTTGCTGCATGTGCATCACAAGACCTCTCGGGCTTCTCTGCAGCTAATTTAATAATCCTTTACAGAGTGAGCCATAATTTTATCAGGACTCTAAATGCATGTCAGTAATCTGTCTCGACCACTATCTCTCTGTGTTGTGATGGAAAACATTGACCAGTAGGCTACAAAGTAGGAAACAATTCACTGCCTTGAAATAGGAGAAACTCAGGCCATGTGGAAGATGAGAAACAAAAATGTGTCACTGAAATTAGTGACATACGGTTAGCTTCAGCTATTTCCTTCTTTAACCAATGCACCGATTACAGGTAAGATGATATCTTCAAGAGGTTGAGATTGCAGAGAGATGATGCGGGCCTACCTGGGAGTCGTGTGGGGGTGATTCAGCTCAAGGAGTTTTGGCAGTGCACCAAACGCCCTGCCACCAGAATGAGAACACAAGAGGAGACTGTAGGTTAAAGTACATGACAAATGACAGGGAGGAAGTGAGAGTTTCAAACGAAGGTGGAAGTAGGAGGTGTCGGCTGTGCCGTCTGCAACAAGCTGCAGAAACCAAAGTGAAACACAGGGCACCATATAAGATCTTTTGTAGGATTGAATCATGATAAAAGCGTCTAGCGGTGCAATGCAGAGTTCAATCCACACTTACCAACAACGGCAAACAGATGCAGGCCATTGCTGCTTAGAAGTCACCTGGTTATCAAAACCACTTCACGTCCAACAACACAGATAAATGCAGTATGTCTGAAGAGCTCACAGAGTTTAAGTTAGCGTGAAAAAGACTCAATATTTTCTTGAGTGACGGATGTCAGTGCATGTCTGTTCTTTTTGACTCATGATTTCTGCAGATATTAGAGTTAAATACTCTATAAGAGGCTTCTCATCTGCTGCTATTCTTTCATTAGATTTATATAAGGCATCAGACAAATCTTAAGACAGACAAAGTATGTATGAGGGAAAGAGCAAAGATGAAAAAAACCCCCAGTTTTTTAAGGCCTAATTTTCAGTTTTTAAGCAGTTTCCCAATTGGGGACACCTGCAGTTTGTACATGCTGATGATTTCAAATGAAACGAAAGTTATTTAGATGATGTTTCAAATAACATGTCAGAGTCTGAAGACTTCCATGTGTTTCAGCTTCAGAGACTGGCTTCTTAAAGGACCCTGAATTTCAGGTAACCCCTAATCGAACCCACTTTATTTACATATCACATTTACAGCAACCTGTTCTCACACCAAACCTAATTAGACTTAAACTGGCAATCAGCTGTTTTTGCACATGATGTCACTTTATTAGTCATGATTACTCAGCCTGTGGAAAGGCTTACACTTACATTATGGGAAATCAGGGATGCTGTAATGGAGAAAAAGGAGAAAATGACTTGTATTGATTGGCTAGGCAGAGAGATCGAGCTGGAAAAGATGTGCAGGGTGATTAAGGAAAGAGATGAAAATGTACTTATGAGTGAAGAGAGAGTCGAGAAGGTGGAAGGAGTATTTTGAGGAGCTGAGTGAGGAAAATGGGAGAGAGGAGGACAGATGGAGGACAGTTAGTGAATCGGAAAGTGCAGGAGATTAGAAAAGAGGAAGTCAGGGCAGCCATGAAGAAGCTGAAGAGTGGAAAGGTGGTTGGTAAAGATGATATACCTGTGGAGATGTCTGGGTGAGAGGGAAGTGGGAAGTAGTTTGGCAGATCGTTTACCAAAGCCTTGGAGAGTGAGAGGATGTCTGAGGAAGGGAGGGAAAGTGTACTGGTCCTAAAGGGCACTATAGTGAGTTCTTTTGCTTTGAAGAGAGTTGATGGAGAAGTACGGAGAAGGTCAAAAGGAGTGTCAGTGCATCTTTGTGGCATATGTTAAGGTGTTAAGAGAAGAACTGTGTTGCTGAATGAGGAAGTCACGAATGACAGCGAAGTATGTGTGGTGCAGGACAGAATTCAAAGTTTGAGTAGGACTGCTCTGAACCCCTTCTTCTTTGGAGTGGTGATGGACAGGCTACCAGATGAGGTATCCATGATTTATGATGTTTTTAGAGCACATTCTGATCTGTAGCAAAAATAGGGAGAGGTCACAAAGGGAGCCTGGAGAGGTGGAGGTATGCTCTGGAGTGAAGAGCAATGAAAGTCAGTAGAGGCGAGGTAGAATATCTGTGTAGATGAAAATGAGACAGGTGCAAAAGGGGAAGATGCATAGGCAAGGCTGAGATGGTTCAGACATGCGCAGAGGAGGTTAGTGGATGGTGAACATGGATCTGCCAAACTGGAGTAAAAGAGGAAGACCACAGAGAAGATTCATAGATCTTGTGAAGGAGGACGCACAGAGGGTTGGCGTGACAGAGGTGATTGTTAGAGACAAGGTGAGATGGAGGCACATGATCCCGTGTGGTGACTGCTAAAAGGGGCAGCCAAAGGAGAATCATCTGAATGCATGGGCCTCTAGGTGTGCTCTTTTAAACCTCTTTTAAATCCTTCAACTATAAGGAAGTGCAAAACTCAAACAGCAGGGAGAACCTTTCAGCTCCTAAAATTCTAAACTTTTAGTCTATAAGTTTTATTATAAAAGCAAACTCAGTCTAATCCTTGAGTAGCAGAGCTAAAGCACTTCCTGTTTTTTGTCGTTTTGACACAAAAAACCTCATGCACACATGTTTTTACACTTGTCCTCACAAGCGTAAAAACATGTGTGCAAATGTCACTCAAATATAATTGGGTTTAATGCAGCAGAACTAGGACAACTGTTATTTCCTTACCAGGGCATGCCTACGTCACATTGGACTATAGTACTTTTTTTTCTGGGAAAGCCTTGCATACTTCAGCAAGACAATGCAAAACCACACACCACATTTATTGAAGCAGCATGGGTTTATAGTAGGAGTGGTTAGTTTGCAGTCCAGATCTTTGACCAATTGAAAACATTTAGTGTTATGAAACTAAAAATACAACAATGGAGACCCAGGACTGTTAAGCAGCTACAATCGTCTGTCAGACAAGAATGGGGCAACATTCCTCCCTCAAAAGTTCAACCTCTGGTCTCCTCCTCAGTTCCCAGAGGTTGCAGAGTGTTGTTTAAAGAAGAGAGGATGCTACACAGTGGCAAAAATGACCCTGTACAAGCCAGTTCTGAAATATATTTTCACTCACGCATTTGTAATTCTTTGAGTAGACAGAATCTCAAACTTAAATCTGACAACTATTTAAAAATGAGCATATAAGACATTTATTTTCATACAAGGGGAATCAGAGTGAAAAAAAAAATCAACCTGGTACCAAAATGTTGGTTGTTTTGGACGTTTTCACCACTGAAGTATCAGAAAAAATCCAGGTCTCTGTAACTCTACATCCTAGACAATAAACCGATGTAGTGTGATACACTGTTCAAACAAATTTAAGGAACGCTTTTTAATCAGAGTATAGAATCAAGTCAGTTGACTTTCTGGGACATTCGGTGGCAGTTTAGCTCTGTGGGTAAGCAGGCGACCCCATGTTGCATGACGGGTGAGCAGCAGCTTGGGTTGGAGTCCAACCTGTGGTCCTTTGCTGCATGTCTGTCCCTCTCTCTCACCCTGCTTTCCAGTCTGTCTTCACTCTTACAATTCAATGAAGGCAAAAAATGTCAAAAGGCCCCCGCAGGACCGCTATCTGATGAGCACTGCCAGAGCCTCCAGCAGGCCACTGGTGTGAGGGCTGGCCTGAGGGCTTGACGCCCTCTAGTGGGCTCTGGCAGACGTGACAGGGTCTGGAGACTGTTATGCAGCCTCTAGCGTCATTCAGCATCTCCGATTTGGTGGTGGATGCACAGACCTCTACAGGCTCGGCAATGATAACCGAGATAACGGGATGAAAGTTTTGAACCACTGTCAGACTGGTGCAGTGTGTCCTGCAGTTCCTGGAGGATGAAGAAATTGACACCATTGACTGGCCCCCACGCTCACCTGACCCAGTTCAATAGAACACCTGTATGACATTATGTTTTGGTATATCCGATGTCACCAGATTGCACCTCAGACTGTCTAGGAGCCCAGCGATGCCCTGGTCCAGAACTTGAAGGAGATCCTCCAGGAGAATCATTCTGAAATGCCGCAATGACATTTTGGCTACCTGGACTAGCCTCCCACATAACTTGTGTCTTTGAATTCAGCCAAACTATGTGGCATCCTTTTGTTCCAGTCACATCACTATAGATATTCAGCAAGATTTTTTTTCCCAGTGAGATCTGATGTGTTTTCGGTGTTCTTTTATTTTTTTTGAGCAGTGTATATATCCTGTGATACTGATGCTCAAAGTTGAAAATCGTTCTGAACAAAACGGGGATCTAAGATTTAGAAAACTGAAGTGCATCTACCACCTGAAAACTGCCTCTCTCCTGTAGTTAGTTGCAGGAAATATAAAAGTATTAAAAGCATCTATGTTTTTAACACACTGCTCAGGTTGTTAATATTAGAGTCATATTATAAATTCTTCCTTTTTTTGGTGTACAATCAAATAAAACATTGGATAAAAAAAAACACCAAATCTAATTTTAACCTTGACACTAAGTCTGAACTCCCTGTTGTACCAAACACCAACCCTAATTCCTAATTTTTACCTACACTCTAAAACCAACCCTTAACCCTCCCAAAATGCGTGCTGTCAGCAGGAGTGGCCTCAGGCAGGGATTATATTACCAGGCTGACGAGGACAGCTGCTTTGCTTACTGTCCACCTGAAGGATGCATGCGTAGGTAGGGAGCTCACAAAAAACTGCAAGGCATGGGAACATGTACTCAGATACTTGTGGACAGGTAAAAAACCTCAAACTCAAATCATTCCTCACAAAGACACGCATAAAAGTATAGTCTCTCTTCCTCTCTCTCACACACATACATCTTAAAAGAAACAGCAACAAACAGGAAAAAAGAGATGACAGATTTAAAAATATAGACTTCAGTTTATTGCACAATCGTTGCTGGAGACTGAGGAGTGTGAGAGCCTGTCTGTTACACAGGACACTAATGTCGCACAGACATGTGAACTACAGCACAGGAACAAACCGTCTGAGTTCGTGCACATTAATCGGCAAGCACACAGACTGGATAACGAGGCACTCTGGGAATGCAATCAGCATCCCGTCGGTGCAACAGGCGAAAGTAAACGGGACAACATACAGATTTCATGCTTGCATGGGTTCTGCAGGAGAGCTCATACGCACATGTGTACATACATGATCTGGGGGATCTAAATAAATAACACTGGAGGATAACTGCAGACCAGCAGTGACAGTGTTACCACCAGTTAGTTACGTTTCATTTGGCTGCAGTTCAGCTACAGTAATGCCTGCATTAGTGAACATGAACTTCCACTAGATGGAGCCACACTCACTCATTTGACACATTAAGAAAGCCATGCAGATATGGAGACAATAACAGACAGACCCTCCAGAAAGCTCCCTTCATCCTAAAGGAAAGGGCTTGTCTCATTACCTGTACACATAGACCAGTGTCATTATAGGATCCACAGAATAACAGCAATCATTAATAATCAGTATATAACAACACAGGTGATCCATTATAAACAGGTTGTTAACAGGCTGTCCGGCACCTGTGTAATATTTAAAAAAAAAACAAAAAAGGTTTTAGATTTGTTAGTGATGCTTTTATACATCATGTCTTTTCTTTTTTCATTAAACATACAGACAAAAGGACAAAGACCAATTTTCTGACCGGGTTCCACTCCTGCAACATGGTTTTCAGAGAAATGCTCCACCTTCCTTCGCCCTTGCGCCCACCCTGACAGCTGGGTTCCCAGCGTGAACAGACCGGACTAAAGAGGGCAGGTGAGTCTCGCGTCCATGTTTCAGACAGCAGCGGTCAGGCTTCAGATGTTACAGCTACTGTTATGGCACCCTGAGAAGCGGGAGACTCAGGATGTTGGGAGAGAGCCCTCCGTTACAGCGGATCAGAGAGCCGTTTGACAAACACAAATTGACTTCACTGTTACGTATCCTTCGGCTGATAATGCATAGATAGACCAGTGGTAGTCACGAGGTATTCACATGCCCGCCAAGATTCCCCTGCTATTGTCGCGCATATCTTTCCCGTGTGTCTTTAAAAAAGCGGTTACATTTAAATGATCAGAAGCATTCTTAGTCAGGGCCACAAAATGGTCAAACAACTCTACATTTGAACAGAAACCAATGCCAGTCTTTTTTTTTTCCCTGTGTTTTTCACATATATATCATCATAGCTAATCAAATACATAACTCATATCGATCTGAAGCTCCACATCGAGCCGCGTCTGCGTCCCTCATTACCCGCCAAGCACCAGGAGTCCAACGGACGATGTTTTCGGGGCTAAATCTGGTCAGCCAGTCCTTAGCCTTTAGACAGATGTCCCTTTATGTCAGAATTTATTAAAAGTTGAGTTTTCAGGCTGCTACAAAGGCTGGAATTCACATTTTCCCGCTTTCAGTTTATTGGAGGTATAAAAGACATCTAAATGGCACACAGCCTGCAGGCTAAAGTTAGTTTGATTTCTGACCTCAACGTTGACCAAAATAACTGAATTTGGGTGTGAACTGCTGGTTCTCTGAGGAGTTTGTAGTGTGTTTCTTTACAACCACGTTTAGCTGTAAAAGGGCATCTTTTTCTCAACGTCTTTCCATCTTTTAACCAAAACTCAACTTTGGTAAAGTCGTCTTAAGCATCTTCACTGGGTGGGTAATCCCATTCCTTCCTGTCTTTCTTCCTTAACCAAGTGTGCGTGTTAAAAATGAGTCACTGTATATTCTTCTGCACTGTATATAATCTACATAAATGTATTTACATTATTTATATGGACTTTAAGTGTATTTCAGAATTGACTTGAATTCAAAGCCCTTTGGAGAACGATGAACAGTGCAGTTTGTTTTGATTGTGATGCATGGCCTCCGATCGCTTCAAATCCTCTTCCTGCAGGGTAACGCCACACTCCAAAGCCCACCTCCAGCTAACCACACAGTCATTTCCAGGGCCGAGTGAATGATCAGTTGCTGGCTACAGTGAACTAACAATCAGCTAACATTATGAGACATCAGTTTGTGTTTCACAGCTACTTTCATGCATTTTTTTTCATTCAATTGCCAAAAATACATTAACTTCAGCTTTTACATTGTATTCATAATCATCACTGTAAGAGTGAGACTAGCAGACAAATATCTGACTTTTTAAATGAGGGCAAGTTCATAAAGTCGGGTCACGTTGGGGTTAATGCATATCATTCAGACTCTGGGAAATCCTTCTTCATCTGTGAGACAGTGTCACGGGAGCAGACGTTGCTAATTTGGCGAGATGAAGGTGGGCTAACATGGTTGGCAACTAGCGTGGGAAACAAACCCAATGCTTAAAAAAAATAAATAAAAAAACACTAAAAAAGGTCTAGGTATGAAATGAGGCTTCAGAAGCCAGTCCTGAACATGACTGAAGAGTGCGACGATTACTTCTACAGAACAGTAACAAGCCTGGACACACATGAAAGTGCTGTGACTCATACATGACAGGCAGGCGGGTTCAGAGGGGTTCATTCCTGCATACGTAGGCCAGCTTAGTGTATAAACCACCACTTTAAAAAGGCTAAACATCAATTCAAGAAAAGTGCAAGCAAGTACAGCTAAATAAATAAATAATGTGGCAAAAATGACTGACCATATAATAATATTTAGGGTATAAGTAAACATCTAAGCACAGCACATCTACATTCATGCCTGAGGACATAAATAACTTCAGAATAGACCTGCACCTGTTTTAAAGGTCACATTGCAGCTGTTTTCCTCGCCGAGCTGCGACGTGTAAAGACAGATCTGATCCTGTGTGACTGAGACGTCACATATTACAGGAAGGCAGGAAAAACTGTACGCAGAGAAAATGTGGAGCTAATCCTCCGGAATTGCTGGGTTTAAATAAAACAATGGATTTTCTTTGACCTCTTATTTGACCTGTCAGTCAGAGCGATCCTGCACTGCAATGATGTAAACTGTTTAAGCAGCTGACAAACACATTCAAATTAATACAAATGAATAAAAACAAACATAAATATAATCTATTTCTTGATTAAATATATATCCTTACGCGTTTGGGGCCAGAAGACAAATAACTATAAATAGCATTATAAAGTCATTACCCCTTTACATTTCAGCACTGCCACATATAGTTTTATGTATTATGTGCACATGGTGGCATTTCAGTGTAAAACAACTACGCACATTCAATGGCTTTTATACACAATTGCGCAGAAGACTCACAAAGCACTCAGGCTCTGCCTTTAAAAAGATAATTACGTCTCGCACAAATGGAAACGGTCGTCTTCCAAACAAAGGGAGGTCATAATAAATGCGTAAGACCAATCAACTTGGGGTTGGCTGGACATAAGCAAAAGTTTGGCAAAGGCAGCTCATAGACATCAGTTTCTTTTCTGATTTAAAAATGCCTGAATTTCTTTGGCACTGGTGCAAACAAAGCTGATAACACTCAACAGATCCCATCTGGTGGTCTGGGACATCTCAGCAGGTAAGCTCATTGCTGGCACGCTTCAGGAATGAGCCCCTCGCACGCCTTCGGTAAGGACCATTCAGATGACAGAGAGGACAAAGAAGAAAAAGAGGCAGTGGCAGAAAACAGGGAACTAAACAGTCCTGTAAAATTCAGTCTGTTGGACGAAGTTAAAACTCTAAAAGTGCTTTGTACATGTGTAAAAACAAAGGTGCGTGAGAGTGCGTGCTGTGTATGTGATGTGAGATATGAATATGCTGCACAAGTGTAGACAAAGACTGTCATATCATTTGGACGAGGGGTTTTTAAACTCGTCTGGGGGCAGGGAGCCTTTACCCCAGGAATACACCGGTCACTGTTTCTCATGCAAATCGACGTCGGGTTGAGGGGCGTTTCATTTGGTCTGCATAGAGTGTTTATTTTTAAAATAGTGCTTGTGGTATGAGCGCATATTTCTACAGGACGGTAGAGTTAGAAGTTGAAGAAGGAAGAATCCTGTACAGAGTTTAGGGAGGAGATGAGATGAGTTTCTGGGTGGTAGTGAACGTTAATTAATGATTAGGAAAGCAGAGCTGAAAAAGTGAGGAAAACTGCAATGAAGGTATTTTGTGTATCTTCAGGATGACAAGGAGACAAGAAGCCTAGGTGGTTGACTAAAGAAAGACAGGACTACTGGGATGCTAGGAGTACAGCAACAAAAGAAATGGCGAAGCAAAGACTTTCAGTGAGTGTTACGTGAAGTTGGAGAGGAAAGAACTTGTATTGATTGGCTAGGTGGAGAGATTCCACTGGAAAAGATGTGCAGGGTGATTAAGGATAGAAATGGAAATGTACTTATAACTGAAGAGAGTGTTGAGAAGGTGGAAGCAGTGCTTTGAAGAGCTGATGAGTGAAGAAAATGAGAGAGAGGAGGTGGAGGACAGTTTGTGAATCAGAAAGTGCAGAGGATTAGAAAGGAGGACGTGAGGGCAGCTATGAAGAGGCAGTTGGTCCAGACATACCTGTGGAGGTATGGAGATGTCTGGGAGAAAGGGCAGTGGATCTTCAATCAGCTTGTTTACCAAAACCCTGGAGAGAGCAGGTGTCTCCGGAATAAAGTGTACTGGTGCTGATTTTCAAGAACAAAGGTCATGTGCAGAGCTGTAGTAAGTACAGCAGGATGAAGGTGATGAGCCATGCCATGAAAAAGAGAGGTGATGACCAGTCAGCAGCAGTATGGTTTCAAAACGAGAAAGCGCACTACAGATGTGATGTTTGCTTTGATAGTGTTGATGGAGAAGTATAGAGCAGGTAAGACTTGTCACATTGTGTCTTTGTGGATCGAACGATATGACAGGGTCCCAAAAGAGGAACTATGTAACTGCATGAGTATGGGAGAGTGGTGCAAGACATGCATAAGGATAGAGAGACAGTGGTAAGGTGTGCGGTAAGAGTGACAGATGGCTCCGAGGTGGGGGTGGGAATTAAAGTCAGTAGAAGGTAAAATACATGTGTGTGAATGAGAAGGAGACGGAGAGGTGAATGAGTTAGAAACGTAGGTTAGTTTAAATACCTGGTGTCAACCCTTCAAAGGAGCAGACAGTGCACAACAGAGGTGAAGAACAGAGTGGAGCGGGTGGAGACAAGTGCCAGGAGTGATTTGTTAGTAGCAAGAATGAAGGGAAAGGTTTACAAGATGGTGAGACCTGCTGTGATATATAGACCCGAATTGGCAAGGCTGAGATAGTTTGGACATGTGCAGAGGAGGGGTAGTGCATATACTGGACAAATGATGTTGAAGATGAATCTGCCAGGCAAGAGGAAAAGAGGAAGACCACACAGGCGATTCAGGAATATAAACTTCGGACTTTTTCCTCATAAATGTGCCATTCTGTCCTTTTTACAGCTTCAATCTTGAGAGTTCTGAGGTTGTGTCATGAATTTTCCTCCCACTCACCCAGCCCCTTAAATTTTTATGAAACCTTCAGTGGCGTTAACACACAGTGGTAACCTTGAGTTTGAAAAGTTAATACAAGCCCCTTCTCAAAACACTCCAAAGTACTTCTTACACAAAATGTTTTACCACATATAAACCCCTCCAAAGGTCACAGTAAGTGTTTTGTCTTTTCTAGGTCTCTACCAGTAAAAAGCCTCATTTATTTTCTTAAATTCATATTCAGATGAATTAAATTAGAATCAGAATACCGCCCAGCACTCTTTCAAAATTGGCAAGACACTCTTTGCTCTTCTAGGTCTGAATTCCGGCCCTACTCTGTGCATCTTAATGCAGCTTCCATAAAAATCACTCAGGACACAAAGCTGCTTCTGGGGCGTGCCGCAACCTGTCTGATGGATTTGCAAGCATTGTCGTGAGTGGGCGAGATCAGCTTCGGGAGCAGCATGAGACTTGGAATGCAACACAGCTGAGCTCGGTGTATTCCTGAGGCGACGGGCAAGAACATTTTTCCAAGGTCTCGCTTATAATCCCAACACTGACAAACCGCATGCTTACTACCATTTCTACTCTTGCATGCCAAAATTATGAAACTTTTAAATCTAAACATTTTAGACGCGTGTCAGTTTCTACTCGTCCAAAGATAACATGGGTGTGATTAAAGGACATCTGTAGATCGCCACTTTTTAAGATCAGAATGTAATTTCAGCAATTTAAAGGAAATTTATCACTAGATATTTTAGCTGTGGGCCGTAGACCCAACTTTCAGAACCACTGATTTAGACCATTTTAATCAACGACATCAAGTAATCCTTAAAAGAAACTTCTATCATTATGTAAAAGGCTTCGAGCTGTAACCTTTACCTAAGACATTATAGGGTTTAAAACTCGGTTAATAAATTTACTTTTTAAAATTTGACACTTTTTTTATCGGTTTGTGTATGAATGTGTCTGTGTGTGTGTGTTTGTGTCTGCATGTGTGTATGTATATGCCTTTGCACCAAGTTTGTGGCAACTGAGCAAGTCAGAATGATTGTGCGTGTTACTCGACATACTTTTACCTGCATTCGCACAAATCAAGATGGACGAAGATATGAACATTCTGAGTTTCAGCGCATGAAGTGAACACATGCACAGCATTCGTTTCTGTGATCCCTGTCCTTTCCCTTCCCTTTCCAGGCTCCCCCCTTCCCCCAGAGGTCTTTCAGTGGTATGTTCCAGCACTCCTTGTGAGGGGCCGGGGGGCTCCTGTGTGGGTCAATCTGAGGGGCAGTCGTAGCTGGTGATCCAGAGAAGGTCGTCCAGCACGCCCCAGTGCAGGTAAAGGATGGAGATCACCACCAGTACATGCATGATCTGGTGGCTGTTGCACCAGTAGTCGAAGAGACCCGGCCAAAAACGCTCCGGGATGCGCGTGATGTTGATGACCCCGCCCAGCACGGCCAGTGCATCCATCGTGAGAAAGTGGCGTAGCGAGGTGGGACTGCCGCCGCCCACGCCCACCCAGCGGAGCAGGAAGAAGGAGAAGCGAAACAGCGCTTGCCAGGCGAAGGAGCGCAACCGCCGAACGCTGCTCCGAGCGGTGACGGCGCAGTAGATGGCGTGGCTGGACAGCAGGATGTAGACTAAAAGGGCTACAGTGCGGATAAATGGGTAGCACAGCAGTGTGGTGTAGACGATAGGCAGCGCTCCTAAGACACGAAAAAAGACAGAGGGAAGTCAGGAGAGCGATGAAGCCACGCCTTGTGAAAAGCACAAAGGTTGAATCGTTGACCCTTTAAAGCTGCGTGTGTAACTCTGCGCTTTTGGCCAAAGCTTGATGGTTTCATTAATCACAGTGCAACTGTGCAGGGAGGTGGCTGAAACAACCTCCAACTTTGTATTTTTTATGTCACATTACAGGAAGTGGATGATGAGGTTACTGAAATAAGGAGGCAGTTCTCTTTTCTAGAGAACTCAGCAGGAAGGCAACACTGATGGGACAGAGATTTACAGTGTGCGACTAAAAATAGAAGCATGTCGACTGTAAAACGTATTCAGGACCAAGTGTGTGAATCGTCAGTATTGTAAAATTTGGCCCTTTGTTTTTCTCTATGTTGTCATTAGGGGTCTGCAGCCTGTCCTCTCTGACACACAATCAGCAGGTAGTGCCGTTACAGAGAAGGTGAACCCAGGTTGAGTGAAATCATTTTATTAGAGTTAATAACTGTGTCATTCATTGCTGTAACCATAGTCATAACCTTTGTGGGTCAAAAGCTAATAAGGGTCCTTCATCAAAGTACTTGTTCAACAAGCTTAATCATGAATCAAGACTGCTAATATTGCCGACTCTGCCCCTTAGATTTGCAGCGTTCAGTTCTTCTAATGTTCAACTGAGCTTTAAATGCACTGTTCCTAAATACAGCTACTAAATAAGCTAAGCTTTCTAGACGTGGATAACTCAGTAAAATAAAGGAGGTTTTTTTTGCACAAAGGAAAAAATAAAATAAGTAGAGGACGTTGTTTCAACGGAAAAGTTATTATTTTGTAGACTGAAAGCGTTTCTGTTTTATTAAACTCACAGTCACCTTGAGCTGAGGGTGATGAATCCATTAACCGAACAAGACACAATTAATTTGTGACTCAGATGTGATCATTAACTGTTTTCTTCTGATTCATTTTAACTGCAAATGGAAAATCATTTGTAGGCAAAGAGAAAAAGAAGAAGTGATCCTTGTTATAGATTACATTGTTGTTAGACTTCTCCTGCCCTCTGTGTTCTCCTACCTGAGTCCTCCTGTCGGCAGGGTGAGTTATTAGTCTTTTAGTTGACTCATATTTTGCTGTAAAGGTTCATTTTCTTACATGTTTCATTGTTTCCTGCCTTTGTGGATTTTCCTTCCTTTTTGGATTTCCTGCTTTAATTATTCTCACGTTTATTGTTTCCCGGTCTGTCCTCTGTCTAAAGCTATATTTGCCTTTGCCTTTGTCTTCTTGCCTAATTCTGCACTGCTAACCATCTTCTGTTCCCTTATGTTGGAGTTTTGTTATTTACTTGCTGAAAATCCTGAAAATTACCTGTAGGTCTGTCCATTAATATTCATATTGTTTTACTCTCTGTCTGCCCTGCATTTGAGTCTGTTTAACTTCACTAATCCTGACAGAGTTTTCTTTACGTTCACATGAATTGTATGCATTAGTTAATTCGGGAGGACGTGTATCCACTCGTCTGTCTGCATTCCTGAGAGTTGTTATTCTGTTCTTTTTATCATGTCAACCCAACCCTAGTTGTTCATAGCCTCTAGACTTTGCTGCTAAACCTTTAGATAGAAAGGATTTCAGATCCGGCTATAACAGTGAATTTAAGGGGATGAAGGAATTTAGTGCAATTAAATGATGCCAACTGCTTTCATGGTATTTTCTTAACGACTAGTTGGGTAAAACTGTGCAACCAAAGCACAGGAAGTCACAAGTTAGTGTTCTACTAGTGCATGCCCTAACTCTGAATACACCAGGAGGGTTGTGCCCTATTCCAATACGCAGATGCTTATGTACCATTGCGGCGACCCCTCAAAAAAGTGCAGCCGACAAACGACTAATTGATAATTGCTGAATGGCAGAGACAGAAAGACCTTTGTCTATGCAGCTCTGTGATGAAACAAAAAGGATACTTTATCTGCAACTAGCATGAAAAGAACATTTATATCATATTTAATCTTGTTAACATACACTGATGAATGATTTAGCCTACCTAAATGAATAATTAGTGGGCATAAGTGGATGGACATCAGATTATCAGGTAAAACAGTAAAACATCACAATGTTTTCTTGGGTGTTTAATCCCTTTTTTAGACTTTATTGTAGATTTTCCAAATATGTTTTATGGTTAAAAACAGTTAATGGGAACAGGAGGCCTGTAAGCTAACGTAAGGGTTGTAGCTTTGGTCGTAAAGATAAATAAATATCCCCGGTGCTTAGGCCTGGCAGGTTGCAGGGTTGGTAAAAATTCCTGGCACAATTCCTGTTATTCCCATGCTTTGTCACAATATTAATAATGAATGTACTGTATTAACGATATCGGTGTAGTGGGCAAATCTAAAAGGTTCATTCAAAGTGTAGAAGTCTATAAAGAAATAAAAAATAATGTGCCTGTCATTTTTTCTTACAATAGGGTGATGTAGGCAGCATGGACAGATCAATAATCATTTCAGAGCTCGAATCATTGCTTGCAAAGTAAGATCGAATCAGAGTGTGTTGCGACAAATCAATACTGGTACACCTCCAAGCAAAACACTTGCACGGTAAATCACTGACAATCAATTCCATCCTGGAAGAAAACAGATCAGCAATAAGAGAACAACAGCTGACAATGAATCCATGAGGCCTCACCCAGCGTGTTGATCATGCAGATTCCACACACGTCCAGCTTCAGGAGGGTGTGGTAGACTGGCTCCCCTCCCTCGTGGTTCATGAACAGGTGGTAGACCACAGAGCCCAGCTGGGGTGACAGGCAGGCCAGGAAGTGCACCACACCCAGCCATGTCACGCTGATCTGAGACCAGGGGATGTTAAGAGGCAGCAGCACCAGGAAGCAAACCAGAGGGATGCCTGAAGAGTGAGCAGGCAGAGAAACCGAGAGAGCAGTGGTTATAAAAGAAGGCTTTACCTATACCACACAATAAAAGACTTGTAAAAGACTGACTTTATCACATCTGCAGAATGTGGCATAACTCAAGAGTTTTTAGTTGCTCTGGAATCAGCCTCCAAATACAAATACTCGCTGAATGGGAATGTAGTAGTATTTAAAAATGGGTTTTTTTACTACACAGGGGTTTAATTTAAAGTCCTTCTATGGCTCAACAAGTCAATTCATACAGAAGTGAAACACTTTTATTTTTTATCTTTGTAGAACCACTCTGATCTGTAAATTTAAAAGCATGTGTAATGACTGGAAGTGGAAAAATAAACACACTGCGAAATGTACACACAATGAAACAGGAAAAGACTGGAGGTGGTTTTTAAACTGTGTAATTAGGCAGAAATTGTAATGTTAAAACGACACAAGAGAAAGATCAAATAAACTTTAAATAAATAGAAAAAATAAGAAATTGAATAATCAAATGAAATTAATGAGCTACATAAAAGTCTAAATAGTCTAAACAACAGCACGTCATGTAAAGGCTGAGCTTAACACAGGGCAATGATTGAATTAATAATTTAAAAAATGTCTTTTATAAAAACACAATACAGTAAAATATTAAATAACAATACTTCATTTTATTTAACCTTGTAATCTGCATTTTATATTTTAAAATCATTATTATTAATACATGCATATATCTCATAACTTTGATTTAATTAACATTCATATTACTATTTAATTTCTATATTTTATTTATTTTATTTTATTATATTTATAAATAATATTACCTGCTTTATGTACCTCCATTTAATAATATAATTGCTGTTGGTATTATTATTATTATTTAGTATATTATTTTCATTGTTATTCCATACAAGAAAAAATATACTTTCTCAAAACTTCTAGAATGAATAAAGTAAAGCTTATCTTATCTCATATGTAAAGACACACACGTCCTGACAGCAGTGCTTCTTGTGTCACAACACTTTTAACAAATCTGATGACATGCAATTAAAACGACTAAAGCACCATCTTTTACTTCTGCTTGTAAATAGAGTCCAACGGATAATGTTGCCTGAGGTAATATGCCCACATGCTGGTATGAAAACCATCCGCTCAACTCTGACAAAAGCAAATTAAGGTGTCGTGTTTACGGTGATGGATTATCTCGCTCAGGAGTTTCTGGAATCGAGGACGCTGTTTTTCACACTATATGAGAATCAGTAGCTGTGAATGGCTGCTGAGAGTGCACAGATACCAGCAAGAAGAGCCAAAGGGGAAACCTACGTGATTGGCACCAACGTATCAGTGATTCCCCATTGAGAGAAAGCCAAAGCTCCCACTAAGCTCTAATTCTGATGCAGCAAAAGGCCACGCTGCTAATGGCTACACGGCTCCCATTTAAGTTTCCCTGTTTGGCAGGGAATTTGACTGCTACGTGAGCAAAATGCAGACCTTGAAATTTGATCCGCTTACATACGGCTCTTATCACTCTGAGACACACCTACAGCACTCCTCCCTTTCTCTCATTTTTGCTCTCACTGAAGACAAGGCAGGTGATACAAGGAATGGCATGCAACTGTAACACATCTATTTTAAGCACATTATCTCCCTCTCAGCATTCGCCCTGAGCTGGCGAGTTGAAGTCAGGCGTGGACACAGCAGCGGGAGCGAGGACCTCTGAGTATCTGAGACCTGAGCTGCGGGCAGGATGTTTTCAGTTTATATGCAAAACAAGCCGGCTCATGAAACTCAGCCGAAATGTTACAGCACAATAATAAAGAAGAATTACAAGCACAGCGCAGCCTTTTCTTCTTTTTCTCAGATCTGGAAAACTGGAAAATAATGCTCATTAGATTAAACATTAGCCTGTTATGTTGAGGTCACACGCTAAGCCAACATCACTGGAGTGCAATAAAGACATCCAGAGCCACTTAGCTGATAATCACTGATGCTGTTTAACTGCGCCGTGACTGCTGGATGCTGGAGCGCCACAACAAAGTTAAATGACACCATCCAGATTGCACTTTGATATGAAAAGAGGAGGGCAAAAGACACAAGTCATGCTGCTGAGTGCCACATTACAGGCTGTCTAATCATCTCAGTTTGAAAATAGAAAAAAACCCACCACGCAAACTGCTAACAGGCCAACACCTCACTCTCACCTTTGGCTGAACAGATTAACACAATTCTGCAATTAATCTGGGCTTGTAGCAAACTATTAAAAGAATTGCACATTGTGTAAACACAGAGTTCAAGAGAGATGAAAAACAGTGTTTTTCATCTGCTCTTATGTACAAGTCTGCTATTACGTGCAAGTCAAACTGCTTTTTAAGAATTCAGTCCACGTTTAAACACTTGCCTCCAAGCAGGAAAGTCTTGGAAAAACATTTCTTGGAAAAACATTTCTTTGCCAACAAAAATTCCCTCTTTGCAAAACTGCCATTCAGTTAACATCTAAACCAAAAGAAATCACCTTGGGAGGGTGACAGCTTTTGAAATAGAGTCCTTTGAATAAGTTGGGCACTACTGGCTTAAATCAGGGGTGTCAAATCCATTTAATTTCTGTTTTTAACAGGGCCAGATTAAGGATGCTCTGCTCTGATATTTGCATTGGATATAATTTTAATCCTGAGTTGAAAAAGCAAAATCAAGCAACGACAGTGTGCTGATCTACGGGATGATGTATTCGGTTCAGTCCGATGCATTTACTTGACCACCACAGTATAAAAGATAGACGTCACGATTTGTCAGTCACAAGTCGTTAGCCAGTGAGCGAGCCACAGATTATCCTCATTGCTAAAACTCAAAATGTAAACATTTATAAAACTAACTTTTTATTTTGATCCAGAATAGGTCTTAGATTACATAGGTACAATCACACTCCTGATCACGTTGTGATTGCTGCATTTGTTCTAAGCAGGCGTGGAACTGCACATGAAAATGACTATGCAAAGTTAAGCCAAGATTATTTCTTTGCAGGCAAGACATCCGGGACCTAACGTTTACTAAACTAGTAATGAGACGTACACAACACGATGGAAAGTTTCATCATTGTGAATCCTGACTGAAAGAAGACTTTTAAACGCTCAGTAATTAGGCAAGACCATTTATTCTTACAAAGCTGAAAAACAAAGTTTAAGTGGAGACTAATGCTGCCTTCATATTCCCCATTTTTTATCCATGTTAAGGATTACAGCTTATTTATCTAACACTACTCGGCATTGGCAGATACTCAAAGCCAAGGTTTCGAAATTTGGAAAAGTTGGGCCTGTGAAAAACACCTAAACTTTTAGTTAATGCAAAGAAGTTTAAGCACATTCTTTAAAACATCAGCATTTCAGTGTTTCTCATGAATTAAAAATGTGCCTTTCAAGGGTGAAAATGCACACAAGCACGACTGGTGCAATACAGTTAAGACAAAGAGCCTTTGTTACATTAGTTAATACAAGTTTTTGCTTTTTCCTGTTATTTTTGGATGCTTGTTAATCAAAAATGTATTTTAAGTTTGAGTAAATTAGATCCTCTTCTGCAAAAGGCCAAAACCTAAGTGGTGGGTGCCAGATTTCACATAAGCTCAGCCTTTAATAGAAGTAACATGTATAAAACTGATGGACAGCCTGAGAAATCTAAAGAAAAATCAATTCAAGAATATGCCTCAATTTTTCCACATGTTACATTTTTCTAACGTCATGACAGAGAAATGTAACAGTATAGTGGACAGGGCTGAAACCCATCACTTTTCAGTGGCATTGTATGGCAAACAATGACTGTAAAACTGACATGACTCAGATGAAAATAACAGGTCGGCCAAACATTTTCATGATGTGATCCTTTGTTTTAGGTATAGCAGCAAAGAGCAGCCTGCAAAATGCAGTCAAACGTCAAACTGATGTTCTTCTTCTCCGCAAAGCATTCCAGTGAGCTGGATTTCAGCTCTTTGGTGGGCTGAGTGTTTCACATGAATGATATTGGTCCTGGCAGTATTTATCAACATGAAAACATTTTCTTTTAATAAACATCATGCAGAAACAGATGCTTCATCCAGCAAATCTATTGTTTTAATACTGTCAGCACTGCCTGCAGCACATGTACCAGAGCTGGTGCAGAGGCCTCACAATAACTTACCAACTAGTTTATAACATGCAGTGCTAGAGAGTTAAGAGACTTTTCATTTTCATTTTAATATAATTCTAAAATACTTACATGCACATATCTATATATATCAAAGTGTTAATTACTTCATTACAAACATCATATGCTCATTATGGAGTATATACACTGCAACAATGCAAACATTGCCTTGCAAACATTACAGCTTTTCAAAGTATATGATTTCCTGCTTTTTTTATTCATTGAAAACTGAATAAACTTGGCAGTAGTATTTCCAGTGTAATAACTGGTGATAGTCGCCAAATCTTATTTTATGCTTGAAAATAAATCAGTTTATTTTGTATTGTCCTTCTGTGATAGTTAATGAGCTCTTTGTCAAACCATAAATGTGTTGATACGCTGATGATGACTGAAGATGGTTTTTAATCATTTTTGATGTGTATGAGTCTGCTGCCTTTGCTCCTAATGCGTGAGACTTCAAAGCTGGATTATTTCTTTAGTACTCTTGTAATTTGTATGGTCCTACTCTAGCTCTGGTTTCTTCCTAGTTGTGCCTTGTAAGCCTGTTTGGATTGGACTGATTCCCTTATGCATGACACATTAAAAATGAAAAAATAAAAAATAAATAAATCAGTCAGTCAAACCATGTTCTGCTTTTGTGTTCTGTTATTGTACGTTTTAGATGAATCACACTGAGGAGTTGTACAAGAAATAAACTGTAAATTGCTGTCATCTGGATAAATAATGTATATTTAAAATAAAAAAGAGTGTGAGTCATGTATGCCTTCATGAAAGCTTCCCAACCTGTGTTGCAGAGTCTGGCAGTGCATCCTTCAGCAGGTACAGGGAGGTACAGGGTCTGTCTCCCTCTCTACACAAATCTCACATGCTGACTAAGCATTCCAATCTGATTTTTGTTGTACTCACCGTGAGTGTATATGTTTCCAAGTTCATTGTGCAGGTAAAACAGGCTTCTGATGCAGTCCTGCACGGAGGAAATTGGCCGGTATCCCGTAAGGACGTATTTGTTGAACTGAAGATGTGGAGGTGAACTCGCCCAGTCCAGCAGCCTGGGTCCATTTAAAAATGCCATAGCAAAGAGGACGGTTAAAAGGACACCGCCGAATAAGTAAAAAACTGACTGTACACCTATATACACGTTCAGTAAGATTATTGCGACTAAAACCTTATGGGAAACCATTGGTATTGGTTGTGAGGTTTTTGTTTTGTTTTGGGGTTGTTGTTGTTGTTGTTGTTTGTTTGTTTTTTGCTTTGTTTTTTTAATTATTATTTTGTGCTGTTAGCCGCCTAGCTCGGCGCTAGCTAGCTCAGGAGAAGTCTCTAAGCGCTACCCGGCAACTGTGTGCGCGCGCCGTCGCTGCTCGCTTTGAACCGCCGGTACCTGTGCGAGTGTCATCCGCGAGGCTGGAGACAGACGCGGAAAGCCACACGCATGATGCAAGCTCCCGGCGGACATTACATTTGACATCTAAAGTGTCCGTGTGCCACCTACAAGCGCTAGGCGTTTGAGAGGCGAAGGGTTCGCGGTCATGTTAAAGCCATTTCCTCGTTAGTTAGCATTCCGGTGCAGCGGCGCAGGCAAGGATGCTGTAGGGGAGCCGCGCCAGCGTCCAACTCCAGATGATGCTAGCTCGATCCCAGCGGTCAGATGTGAAATACAGGACTAGCAGGTTACACCTTCACTGCATTGAAAGTAGACGTGCGCTTTTTGTTAATCCAGCCCCTTGTATACTTGCTAGGTTTCGTAATGCCACTGAAAAAAATAAAAAAAATAAATGGAGAAGGTCCGTGATTGTGGAGCAGAGATTTTGAAGGACTGCGGGCTAGCAAGCCGGGCAGTCGCCTACCAACGTCCGGTGGCTGAGGATGTAAAAACGGATACTTGAGCCGGCTGGCTTTAAACACGCCCAGCCTGCTTCATACGGCGAGTATTCAGTGTCTTCATCAGGTGTTTGAGCCAACTATGATCCATCATTATTTCTAGGTGGCTGTTTTCCTTGAAATGCGGAGTCCTCTCCGGCGGCCTCGAGTCTCCCCTGCATCGTCTTCCAAGCGTCAAGTTACTCAGACAGAAACCTGGACATTTCCGATCGTTGTTTTCAAAATAAAAGCCAGGAAGTTTCGCACAACTATTCTCAAATAAGGTTATTATAGTTACCTAACACTAAAGGATAAAGTAAAGCTGCGAGTGAAAAATACGACAGGATATTAGGGTTTGGAAGGTTGCTTCCGCTAGTGAAAAAAAAGCCAGGCAGAGAGAGGTAGGATGAGGTCAGGCAGCGGTCTCCATGGAAAGTGATGTTGGTACAGTGTGATCTTTAGTGATAATAAGCACTCTTCGTGGAGAGATGGCTCTCATCTCTCCAAAGTCGGTAGAAGCAAGACAATGCATGTGTTGTGCATGAGAGGGAGACGGATGTAACGGCGAAGCTGTAGGGAGCAGAGAAGACAGATGAGTCTAAATACCTAAGGTCAAAAATCCAAAACAACAGACAGCGCACAAGAGAAGTGAAGAACAGAGTGCAGCCAGGGTGGAGTGAGTGGAACCAAGTGTTGGAGGTGATTTGTGACAGAAGGATAGAGTGAAAGGTTTACAAGATGGTAATCAGACCTGATATGATGTATAGTTTGCAGACGGTGGCAATGACAAAAATACAATAGTGATGGGGAACATGCAGGTGACTGCTGTGACAGAGAAGGATGGTGGGAAGGAAAAGGAAGCCACAGGTAAATCGAAATTATGACTTATTGGCCTAAAGTTTTGAGTTAGTTATCTTGAAATTTTAAGTTACTTCTAAATAAGTAACTTAGTAGTACTTCTTAACAAGTAACTTATAAATATTTTGAGTTACTTCTGAGTACCTCAATATTTTGAGTTTTGAAATCAGTTTTACTTACGGATAGCAAAAGAAGCAAAAGCAGAAACAAGCTTGCATATCAGAGGTAAAAAAAAATTTTTTAAAAAGTAAAAAAAAAAGAATACAGAAATAACTAATGAGAAAGAAACTTTCAAATTTAGGAGAAAAATATTTAGAGGAAATTCAGAGAGTCAAAAAGGCAAATATATGGAACAAAAAGGGCAAATTTACACAAATAAAACTGGTAGATTTACAACAAATAATAGCTACATTTACAAAAAGAAGTCAAGGAACTTTATTGTTTCACTTGTCAAAGTTGAGTTGGAAAGAAATTCTCATATTTCAAGATTCCAGAGCTTTATTGTCAATACAACCGCATACACAGTATGCATTTGGCATACCCAAATGCTGTTTGACCCCAAGCACCCCGGGGTGCATTTACAAAACCCGAGTATATAATTTCTAAGTATATTTTATATCTCCCAGAGATATAAAACTAGGAATTACAAATAAATAACATGCAAAATTTTGGTAAAATTAGGGGACAATTACTAACTATATAATACTATACAGTACTATAATGATAACTGTACAATAAACAAAGACAGGACATAGACAATACAAAGTGGATTGTGCAGTAGGTATTGAATACTGGGTTCAAGTTGTTGTCAGGAAATTGTAGACAAGACAGGACGAAGACATGTGCAAGTTCCAAAATGTGCAAATCTAGTATAATTTAAATGTGTTTTCAGTAACTATGTGACTGAGTGAGCAAATAAGCATATTGCTTCCAGGTCCAGTTTGCAGCGGATTTGTGGAGGTTTTTGTTGTTTTTGAGTCTTTTGGTGAGTATTGTGAGGTGTATTTGTATTTGTAAAGGTGTATGTGTATATCAGTCCTTTGGTGGTAGTGAGCTGAGGGCTCTGACTGCTTGCGGAAAGAAGCTCTTGCAGTGTCTGGTCGTTACAGTTTTGATGCTGCAAAACTGTCTGCCAGATGGAAGGAGGGAGAACATTGCACGTGAGGGGTGGAAAATGTCCTTCACTATGCTATTTGCACGTCGGATGATGTGTTTGTCATAGAGTTGGGAGATGGGTGGGAGAGGGCCTCCAATGATCCTCTCTGCTGTCCTCACTATCCGCTGCAGAGACTTCTTTTCAGCGAGGGCGCAGTTCCCGTACCAGCTTCTTCCAGGAGGAGCTTCTTCCCCCAGGCTATTCGGGCCCTGAACCAGGTGTAGGACTGGACTCCCACACACATCACCTCACGCAGTCTGGTTTTTCTTCATGCACACTTCCTATAATTTATAATCTCTTTCTGCTATTTGCACATTTTTACTGTAAATTTCTCAGTTTAATCTGTAAATTTTGTATAACCTGTAAATTGTAAATACTGTAAAACCACTGTCATTTAATGGTTGGGCATTGCATTGCACAGCTACAAGCATTTCACCTCATGTCATACTATGTATGGTTGTGTGTGTGATAAATAAAATTTGAATTTGAATTTTGAATTTGAGCTTGTGATATAGCAGCAGAGGACGCTCTCAATGGTTCCCTGGTAAAATGATGGGAGGATGGGAGGAGGGAGACTGGCCTTCTTCAGTTTCCTAAGAAAGTGAAGATGTTGTTGGGCTTTTTTCATGATGGTGATATTGTTCAGGTTCCAGGAGAGGTCATCTGATATGTGCACACCCAGGAACTTCACACTGTTGACCATCTCAACAGCAGATCCGTTGATGTGCAGTGCGGTGTGGGTCATTGAGCTCTTGTTGTTATTCTGACACCAGTCCACCAGGTGTTGTACCTCCTCTCTGAATTCAGACTCATAGTTGTTGGTGATAAGACCCACCACTGTTGTGTCATCTGCAAACTTGATGATGTGATTTGAGCTGTACTGTGCAGTACAGCCATGTGTTAGCAGGGTGAACAGCAGTGGACCAAGCACACAGCCCTGCGGCGATCCTGTACTCAGTCTGAGGACTTTGGAGGTTTTATTTCCTATGGAAACAGACTGCGGCCTGTCAGTTAGGAAGTTTCAAGATCCAGTTGTGGAGAGCGGTGTTTATTCCTAGTATGTCCAACTTCTTTACCAGCTTTTCGTTGGTTTACTCTACGAAGTGTCATCCTGACATCTGCTGTGGACAGACAGAGTACTTGGTCATTAGGAGAGGGGGGCATATTTGAGCTCCTGGGATAAATAACTAATAACAAACATTATAACAAGGCCAACAAAGGCCGTTGCCAGTCTAATCATTAAGGCAGACAATAAACTACAAGCCCATTGTCATTAATATGAGTCATCCTACAGCCTGGACTAACAACTCAGGTAAACAACTTAATAATTCATGAGTGACATGAAACTGAGTCAACTGTCTTCAGAAAGTGCTAAAATTGTAATACTTATTGTTTGTTCTACAAAGATATACTTCTTATACTTCATAACTCATGGTGTAATTGTTCTTTGTGCATATTTTTTGTACAGCTAGAGTTACATACTCTTCAACCTGAAAACACTACGTCCAGATGAACAGAATCAGTTTTTTAGTCCTTACCTTGATGATTGAGCATGCATCAAGAGATATATAACTGGTCATTAGACTAAAAGGCTCCTAGCCTTAATCTGTTTGACTCCAAGGTCTCTTTAACACTCTGAGGTCTAAATCATGGAACTCATCAGAGATTATAACCCTAACCCTGTATTTTTGGGAAGTCCAGAGCACACTTTCTGAGAAAAATCTAAATAGTTATTGATGGGTGACAGTAATAATGTTTTGGTTTGGATTTTTTTTGTTTTTTTGTTACCTGATTGCCAAAACTAATAAAAACATTAATTACATGTTCAAATTGCTGAGGGTTACACCTCAAAGGGTCACTGACATAAAAGTACAGATTGACACAAAAGTACAGGTTGAAGTTGGATCCTCAGTCAAAAGTTTCTGGTCTATAGTGTGAAATTTTTATTACTTTAGCAGTGAAGTATATGTGAGACATGGTGATGTTGTGGTTCACACCATCACATAACGATTCTGGGTTCAAATCCACTGACTTAGATTGGGGACTTTCTCTGAAGAGTTGTAATGTTTTCCCCATCTATACGGGTACTCTGGGGTCTTCCTACAGTTCACAGACACGCATGCTTTCGAAGTTCCCGAGAAGCACTGAAAGGCGGCAGGTGACATCCTGTAAACGCTTCTGGACGATTCACACTGTTCTTTTCCTCTCGCTCAGTCATTCTTTGGTCTGGACAGCCTATATGTCGCAAATGATGTGGTGCAGGTTTCACAATGACTAATTTCTGAAAAAAAGAAAATGAGAAAGGAGCTTGAGTTTTTTTTTAAATAATTTATCTTTTACACGATCACACTTTTGACTGACCATGTTATTGTCGTTTTTTTTGTAACCTCATGTCCAGTTTGTTCTCAGTTGCTGTCAAGCTGATTTTAGTTTGATAAACAAAGAAGAAAAAGACATGCTAAAATACTTTCCATGATCACATGAGAAAAATAACAGGTTGGCTTAGTGTCATTCAGACCGCCTGCATACTTGCTTTTCACACCTCTGCTACCCCACTGTGTTCATCCTTTGTTCTCTGCATATAAAAGATTATATCGTGACACTGCTGCTCACAGTCTGATGCGTATGTGCAGCGGGAACACACAGAAAGTGAGTAGTCTTACCTGTAGAGTTGCTTGATCCATTTTGGGGAGCTTTTTTGAAGATTTTTCAAAGTGCTGAGGAAAAAAATCTAATTCTGGGGCTTATTTTACTTAATAAGATGGCAAAAATCTTAAAATTAATAGACATCTTTCAGGTTTAGACAAATCAAAACCGTGATTGAGTTTAACCACAAATGATATGTGGTCTTTCAGGACGCACTATATACTACAGAACTGCTTCACGTGTCTGTTTATTTACCTGAAATTGTTTCTTTTTCAGCTTTCAATGACACAGGCTCATTAAATAAATATTTCCAGCTCAGTAGCAACATGTTTCACGTGAAAATCTGGATCTGTGCTGGCCTCCTGCTGTCCCTCCCTCACTGCACGTATCAGTCGTGCACAGAAGGGACACCGAAACAGTGCGCCGATGCAGAATTTGCTCCGGGAGCCAATTTGGCCGGGGAGGGCTTTGATATCACCAAAATGGAACGTAAAGGAGCCTTTGTGCTCGACATGAATCAGTGGAAACGTAAAGATGAAACATGCATGCTGTGTACCAACCCTTTCTTGGAGAACAAAAAGCAAAAGCTACCCCTGACAGTGGTGGACTGGAGGGCAAAGCAGTCCTGCAGCGCCAAAGTTTCCACCAAACTTCACAAATCCAGTGAGTCACTTCTCAGTTCCAGCGTTTCTTCTGTTGAAAACAACTGGAAGGTGAATCTAGATCTTCAAGCGGGGAGTAAAAGTGCGTCACTGATGCTGGGTGGTACCAATTCTCATCTCTCGAGTTACTCCATGGAGAAAACCAAGAATGACAAGTACAGCTTCGCAAGCCACAGCATGTCCTGCGAGTACTACAGGTAAGAATACGAGTGCTCTGATGCGCTGTCTCTTTGTTATCGAGATAAAAATGCTGAAATGCAATTCTGATGTTTAATTGTTGTTCTGAAATCAGCTACAGAGTGTCCAGTGCTCCAAAGCTGCACAGAGAATTTCGCAAAGCTCTGAAAAAACTTCCCAAAACCTACAGCGCAGAAACCAAACAACGGTTTTACAAACTCATTGATGACTTTGGGACCCACTACATCACCAAGGTGAACCACAATAACAACAGTGCACCTGAAACACAGCAAAATTGTGTCAGTCATTTCTGAGTAACACATGCAAATTGTGTTGGAATATTTGATTCCAGGTGAAACTGGGGGGAAGTATCGAGTCTGTCACCAGCATCAGACAGTGCCAGGCCAGCCTTCAAGGGCTCAGTGCCGAGGAAGTGCAGATGTGCCTCGAAGTTGAAGCGTCTGCAAGTATTAAAGATAAAAAAATAAGTACTGAAGCAAAACACTGCAAAAAGGATATACAGCAGACAGACAGTAAGTCTGCCTTCTCCAGCCTCTTCAATGACAGGTATGTAAAAGTTTTCTCAGATATTTCTGATTTGTTATCTCTTCTAACCCCAACGAGGTGTCAGACTTGTTCTTCCATTAACTAAACCATAATAATTAACAGCTATATTATGCCTTGTTTCTGGTGGCTTCAGAGTTAAACTCTTTAAAGACTGACTCCTCCAGTGTTGTTATGATTTCTTTCTGTCGCAGCTGTTCAAGCAACTCTGTCCTCCACAGGTTCACAGAAATAAAAGGTGGTCATACCACAGAGCCAGACCTTCTCTTCTCTGCGGACAAAAATCCAGAAGCCTACAAGGGATGGCTGAGCACATTACCACAAAACCCAGATATCGTGTCATATTCCCTGGACTCTCTGCATGAGTTACTACCTAGCACGAGCAAAGTCAGAAAAAACCTGCGCTCTGCCATTAGCCATTACATCCTGGAGAAAGGCCTGTGGAGAAACTGCACTGATCGCTGTAAGGCTGGAATTAGAACCGACTCGAGGGATGCCTGCGTCTGCCAGTGCCACAATGACCCTGCCGTGAACCAAGATTGCTGCCCTGTTCGTAAGGGAATGGCACGGGTCATCATAACAATACAGCGGGCCTCTGGTCTGTGGGGCGACCATACCACCGGTACAGATGGATACGTGAAGGTGATTTTCAACAAATTAGAAGTCCGGCGTTCTCCTGTCATTTATAACAACAACAACCCACACTGGGGCATGGTCGTCGACCTGGGCTCAGAGGATATTTCATCAGCTAAACTGAGATTTGAAGTTTGGGATGAGGACAACAAGTGGGATGATGACCTGTTAGGAGCATGTGAGCCACTTCTGACTGCTGGAGTTAAAGCGGATCTCTGTAATCTGAACCACGGCCAACTGTTCTACAAAGTGGATGTGCAGTGCGCTCCAAGTCTGAGCGGAAAGTCGTGCACGGACTATAAACCTTCACCTATGAATTCAAGTCTGAAGAAGTTCTATGTGTCCCGTCATGCTCGTCCTATTCCAGAGGCCATCCTGTCAGAGATGGGTGTGTTTGTGGACAAATCAAGTTCATGGAAAAATCAGAGTGTTGCTGCCGAGAGTCCCAAATATGATGTAATATTAGTGTGATGCGGTGAAGAAAATTGGCTTCGCTAAGACGATGAGTTATCAACAGTTTTATTTTAGTCTTGATGTTTTTGAAACTTCTTGTAATGACTCTGAAAGGTAGCAGCTGAAAGTAGAAGAAGTTAAACTTACGTGTCAAAAAAGCCCATTGGCATAATGCAGGCACATGTAGGCACTCTGCGCAAGGTCCTACTACCTCTTTAGCTTTATGACGAGGTGCTTCCTTCTTAAAGATTTGCGCAACAGTGTGGCATACAGCAGTTTATTCAGTGAAGTGACTCCCGCACTACGAGCCACATGCAGTTCTGATGGCTCAGACTGATGTCATTACTTCAGTCTAGGTGGCTTTTAACCCACTTGCATCTGGCTTTAACGCCTGGCTAGGGAGGCTATGTCTGGGTAGCATCTTGCACCAAGGCTAAGGGTGTGTACATATAACTGCGGTTACAAACTTACATATGGTTCACATGTCCTATTATGTATAAATACGTATGTATATATATCTTTCATAAATAAATATGGAAAATGTAGTGAAAATTTTGCACTTTGCTTGCTTGGGGTTGGACCCCTTTTTCCCTTCAGAACTGTGTTGATAACAAAGATTCAACAAGGTATTGGACACATTCCTTAGAGTTTTGGTCTATACTGATGAAATACTATGACACAATTTTGGTGCCGTCCCACTCAAAGTCAACTGCCGTTACATACTTATATATGGCTCACATGTCCCATAATGTATAGACATGTAAAAAAATAAATAAATAAATCATATACACATATGGAAAATTTGTAGCCTGAGTATAGATTTAAAAATGACAATTTGTTCTTGTATGCCACTAGTAACAAGTGTATTAAATACATAGAAGAAACCTGTTGTCCTTCAGTAATAATATTACAATAATAGGTTATATATCCCGGTATTTTAGAGAAATCCAGAACAAACTTTGTGCAAACAATGTAAATAGTTATTGATGTGTGAAACATTATTCTCTTTGATGAATGATTTCTGATTGATAGTGGTGCGTGTCTGCAGTTTGCATGTTTTCTTTCCCTCTCCCTTTGCT